AAGGCTTTAGAACATGGTTTTCAACTTTGTGTATTTAGAAATACTATAATAACTATGAACTTTTTTTGTATATGAAAATACAAATATATCTGATGTATATAAAAGTACAAAATACTGTTGTGGGAGTTTCTCTAACCGACAACCACCACTCTGAGCCTAAGTGATGATACATTATCTTGCCCACGTTGCCAGAACTGTCCTATACTTTGCTGTCATATATGACACCTTAACTAAGTGGATCCACTAGTCTATGCTAAAAAGCACACTTAAGGATTCATCTAAAGAGTAGGATCCTTTACTACCCATGATGGCTACATGCTTTATGGGGGCTGTGAGTTATCTGAACTCTTCCCCATATCGGTGCTCAATACTACTTCCAAAATATACTAGCTCATACGTTTAAAATTATAATTTCTTTCTTTGGTTTGAGATAATTACTCAAAACTTAGCCTAAAAGCTATTTTGTAAATCTCAGTTTCACTCAAATGTGAAAACATTTACTCTTTAATTGAAAACTATAGCTCAAAGGCTCTTTTGGAAATCAATGTTTCCTTTCTTCTTGAAATCTGAAAAGATTTACTCTTTAACTGAAAACTAGCTCAAAAGCTCTTTTGGAAATCAAAATTTCCTTTCTTCTTTAAATGAGAAAATATTTAATCTTTAACTGAAAACTAGCTCAAAAGCTCTTTTGAAACTCTCAGTTTCCTTTCTTGTTCAAATGTGACAACATTTTTAAACTCTGGGGATTACATAGTCCCCATATACTCTTTTGAAGACATGAAATGCAAACCTTGCCAACTCAAAACTCAAGTCTTAAAACAAAGTTAAAACATTTGTAAAAGACTTTTGGAAAACTTTATGAACTTCTCTTAACTTGACTCTTGACTTCTCTTGACTTGACTCTTAACTTCTCTTGACTTAACTTTTAACCTCTCTTGACTTGACTATTAACTTCTCTTGACTTGACTCTTAATTTCCTTGAATTGAATTATGTATTCAAGGATGGTGATTTGTAATAGGAAAGATCTCATTATGTTAAGGAGTGTTCTTAGATAGATAAACATGAAAAAAGATCAAGAAATCACTATCTAGAATCAAGTCTGCGACGCAGAGATGCATTAAAATATTTGGTCGCGAAATAACTTTTGAGGCAGAGAGGTCCGTGACCTCTCCGTGACACGAAGAGAAAGTTACACTTTCGATGAACAGGTCCCCGACGCGGACCTGGTACCCAGTTTCTGCCCGACTTGTTCCTTCTTCGTTTTCTAACCCCAATTTCCCTAAACTCAGTTCTTTTTCTCAAATTACCTTTAGATTCAGATACCCAGTATGTATACACAAGAATCTAACTCAAACAACTCAAGGAAACAACATTTTAAACTCAAGGAACTCCTCAATCTCAAACTAACACAAGAATGAAGGCCAATTTCAAGAACACCATTCAAGATTCATCAACTTTCAACTTTCTAGAACAAACTTCACCGAAATAAACATGATTGGCGTGTAGGTGAACGAATCCAACGCTATGAAAGACTCACATACCTCTTTAGGGATCAACCCTTGTCGAAATCCACAAGCTTAAACCTTCAAGAACGACGAACTTTGCTCTTTCTCCTCTTTTCTCCTCTTGTGTTCTTTCTCGAAAAACCCTAGCGTAAATTTCAAATTGCCTAAACTGATCCAATTAAGTATATACCCTAATTTAATTGCAAAAAATGAATTAACTTAATTGAGTATGAAAAAGACCACAATGCCATTCAATAATCCAGATTAGACTTTCTTTATTTGAACAACCCAACTTCAAATGGGCATATCTCACTCATACGAACATGGAATCGGGCAAACTCGGTGGTATTGGAAAGATTATTCCAAGATATTTTCTATGATATATGGAAACACACCTAACTAATACTGAGATAGGAGTTATAGGCGTTTAAAGTTGACCAAAAACTCAACTTAACACACTTGACAAATTTTCTAGATTTTTATATTCTTTCTAAAAATGACTATTTCTACATTTTAATTTCTTTCTAGTTCTTTCAAATAGCGAGATGTTACAGAATAATAACGTTTTATAACCATGCATGGATATTGTGAAAATATTTCTCAAAAGTGATGATCACAATATTATTATTGAGTGAACATAAACTATCATTATCTCTATCTTGAGTTATTTTGTCTCTTCGGCACTTAAATTTGGACTTATTTTGTATAATTTGTATCGCATTACAGATATATATATGATACGACCCTTCTTTCTATATATATTATTCTTGTCTGTAAAAACATTGTTATTTATAGAGTAAATATTTAAGCTTTATAAAAAATATTTATTTTCAGTTCCGATCCAAGCCCAAACCCCAAGTAAAACTCAAAGTCTTCTATATTTAATATATATTAATATAAATACGTACTTACACAATTACATTAGATCATTCATAATGTCAAGGTAATAGAGTGCGAAAATAAATGACCATAAATGTTCGGGAATATTCTACCCTAAAAAAATTTAAAGAAAAGAATTCCTAATTCAAAATTTAAAATTGTTACATAGACAGAGAAGAGAAAACAGTAAATTTGCAATCTATCGATAATGACCATTTAAGGAAATATATTCTACCAAATTCAATCACGGTGATAGAATCTTGATTCAATAAAATCTTTATTTATTATTATAAGCTGCACAAGTTAATATTAATAATCGTAATTGAAATAGTTATCGATAATTGTTCCCTTCCCTCTAATGGAATTAGACTTAACACTTATGATGTGTTGTTAATAGTGTAAGAATTGACTCATTATCACTTGAATATATTACGTCAGAAATATTATTGAGTTCTTTTTATAATTCTTTTGTAATCAATCATTTTGTCAATTCTGTATGTGATCTCATAACAATGTACATCTAGAAACGTCATCCTAAAATAATTTAAGCTTAATCACCAAATTCAAAGTGACGTATCTATATATTTTTTTATATTTATATATTTATTTTTTATTTTTTATTTTTTAATTTTTAAAAATTTGGTATACCAGTTAATACGCTTATAATCACATTTTTACTATAAAAGTCAAGTTGTATGTGATCTCCTAACAATGTACATCTAATAAGTTTATCCTAAAATATATTTAATAATAATTACCAAAATTCAAGTTGACATATCAATAAATTTTTCAAAAGCCATTCTTATCCTAAAAGATATCAGTAATTTTGAATATGGTATCAAACATATTTTACTATAAAAGCTGAATCCAATTTCTTTCATAGCCACCATCAAATTTTTTTTTTTTTTTTTTACATAGTATATTCCATATAAAGTAAGGTTTCTACTTATTAACTTTTTATTTACAAGATTTTTTAATGTCTGACTGTATGCATAAGTGGTTTTCATGAGATTGTTTACTATATTGTAAACTAATTATTAATTTTATGTTATTTTATGTGTAGCTAAAATGAATACTTTCATCAACAATAACAAGTTCAACTAGAAGAAAGTGGTGTTCATAATGGGAGCAACAGAAACGGGAAAATCTTGTCTCTCTGTTGACCTTGCCACCCATTTTCGAGGAAAAATAATCAACTCGGACAAAATGCAAGTATATAAGGGACTTCAAATTGTTAAAAAAAAAGATCACACACACTGAGAAACAAGGTGTACGACACAATTTGTTAGGTATATATATTTATTTCCAATAATATTTATATCTAATTACTACCTAGATATTTTAATAGTAGTAATTGTAGATTCTTGTGGAAAATATACTTTACTATTAAAAAATCATTTATTCCAATTCTGAGAAAGTTAATTTGATCACATTTTCTTAGGTGAAAGTGAGTCGGATTCCGAGTTCAGAGCTTAAGATTTTTGTTTGCAAGCTATTGTCTACATAATTATTTTTTTAAGACTCAACGCGTTCCAATTATTGTTGGAGGGTCAAATTCGTCTATTGAAAACTTGTGGAAGACCCTGTGTTCATGTTCAAATATAAGTATGATACTAGCTTTATTTGGATTGATATAGAGCAAAATGATTTTACTATAAAAGCTTAATGCAATTTCTTTCATAGCCACCATCAAGAAAAATATTTTTTTTTTTACATAGTATATTCCATCTCAAGCAAGGTTTCTACTTATTAACTTTATATTTACAAGATTTTTTGATGTCTGAATGTATGCATGAGTGGTTTTCATGAGATTATTTACTACTGTAAACTAAATATTATTTTTATTTTATTTTATGTGTAGCTAAAATTAATATTTTCATAAACAATAACAAGTTCAACAAGAAGAAAGTGGTGTTCATAATGGGAGCAACATGAACGTGAAAATCTCGTCTCTCTGTTGACCTTGCCACCCATTATTGAGGAGAAATAATCAAGTCGGACAAAATGCAAGTATATAAGGGACTTGAAATTGTTACAAACAAGACCACACACTAAGAAACAAGGTGTGCACCACTATTTGTTAGGTATATATATTTATTTCCAACAATATTTATATCAAATGACTACCTAGATAATTTAATAGTAGTAATTGTAGATTCTAGTTGAAAATATACTTTACTATTAAAATATTATTTATTCTAATTATGAGAAATTAATTTGATCACATTTTCTTAGGTGAAATTTAGCCAGATTCTGACTTTACAGCTGAAGTTTTTGTTTGCAAGCTATTGTCTACATAGAAATTTTTTTGAAGACTCAACGTGTTCCAATTATTGTTGGTAGGGCCAAATTCGTATATTGAAAAACTTGTGGAAGTCCCTGTGTTCATGATCAAATATAAGTATGATAGTTGCTTAATTTGGATTGATATAGAGCAATCTTTTTTGAACCGTAGAGTTGACATGTGGGTTGATCAAATGGTCAATGCAAGTAATTTTTGTAATTGTTTTATGTATGAATCAAGATATAATCATGCATCTAGATGAAGACTCTTCTTATATAATATTTTTGTTATCAAATCTATGTTCCATTAAGTAAAACTCTTCCTTAAATTTATGTTGCAAGCAAGGTTAGTGGATGAGGTGCGGCAAATTTTCATTCCAGATGCAGATTACACCAAAGGAATCCGACAGTCCATTGGTGTCCCCAAAATGGACAGATATTTAAGAGAAGAAACATATATAGACGAAGATGATGAATCAAAGAAGATGCTTCTTCAATCGTCAATTGCTAATATCAAGTGTAATGCTCGTTTATTAATTTGTCACCAACTTGACAGGATTCAACGATTAACAAATGAGAAAATGTGGTTTGTGCATCATATTATTGCTACTGGCGTTTTCAATGGAGAAAGAAAAGAAGTTGTTGATGAATTATGGAGGAATACCGTTTTACAACAATGCCTGGATATTGTGAAAAGATTTCTCCAATGTGATGATACGAATATTATTATTTAGTGAACATAAACTATCATTATCTCTATCTTGAGTTTTTTATCTCTTCCGCACTTTAATTTGGACTTATTTTTCTTCGTTTCTAACGCATTACAAATATATATATGATATGACCCTTCTTTCTATATATATTATTCTTGTCTATAAAAACTGTAACGATCCGAGTCTACACACTGGACGTGGCTGGCACTCGAAGACCATTGCTGGTCCCCAAGCGAACCCTCATCCTGGCTGGCTACAAGCGAAAGACTAACTCAAGCATGAAAAGTCTTAAAACCTGAATAAAACTCATGAAATCATAAATACAAAGGTTTAAATCAAGAGAAAATTCTGAATAATATAATATATTCAACTTGCCATAAAATAGGCCACTTAAGACTTTAAAACATTTAATAAAATAAATGAACAGACTTCTGAAATTCTACAGTGTATTTATGAAGCCTCTAAATGACAAAGATGAAAGTTGGGACAAAACCCACGACCGCCTAACAACTGATATAGCTGGAAAGTAAATGAAATCCTTCGGAAGCAAGGAGGATCACCCTAGCTAACTCGACTTCCATGTAGTATCAACAAAGCTCTTGTTGGTGACCCTGAATACCTATATATGCATCATTAAAGGATGTAGGACAAATGGCTCAGTACGTGGAATATACGAGCATGTAATGGGAATTCTAAAGCATAACATAAGCTTGAACTTGATAAAAAGGAAACATACTTACCTCTTCTCAACTCAACTCAAAGAAATATGGTTCAATTCAACTCAAGGAATACTTAAGGGTACTCAAAATTACTAAAACATACTCAACTAAGAAGTACTCAAGGATAAGATACTCAACTCAGCAATAAGTTTCTGAACTCAGTGAAACTCAAAAATAATGTTCTTGACGCGATGAAACACAGATCAACTCAAGATACTCAACTCAAGAATACTCAACTTGAAATACTCAACTCATGATACTTAAGGATAAAACAACAGTAATAGATGCAATATATCTGGAAAGCTGTAAAACTGTAGATAACAACTCAATGTATTGAAAAATACAATAATACTCAGCGTTTATATAAAAATACAATATAACTTTTTGGGAGTTTATCTAACCGACAACAACCACTATGAGCCTATGTGATGATACATCGTCTTGCCCACGCTGCCTGAACTGTCATACTTTGCCGTCATATAGAACGCCTTAACTAAGTGGATCCACTAGTCTATGCTAAAAAGCACTAAGGAATCATCGAAAAAGTATGATCCTTTCTACCTATGATGGTTACATGGTTTATAGAGTGAGTTATCTGAACTTAAACTTGTCCCCATATCGATTCTCAATACTACTCCGAAAATACTCATCTCAAATGTTTAAAAACATAAATTTTTCTTTAAATTGAGATAATTACACAAAAATCTTTCTATTAAAAGAGATGGTACTCAAACTGCTCAAAACTCTTTGGGAAATCTCAGTTTCCTGTCATTTTAAATGTGAAAACATTTACTCTTGGGAATACATAGTTCCCATATATCATTTTAAATAAAATAAACTTTAATCTTACTCTTTACTCAACTCAAATCTTAAGTCATAAAACGAAGTTAAAACGTTTGTAAAAGACTTCTTAAAATATGGTTCATATTGAATTATGGAGGTGAACAACTCAGTGCAAGGCTTTCCATAACGATAGGTAGAACTCAATACTTGGAACTAAAGAACTTCAATGATACTACTCATTTAAATAATGTTCAACTCATAGTGTTCATGTGGAATTATGAGCATGAACTACTCAACTCAAGGACTCAAAAATACTTCTCATCTCAAGACTGCTCGACTTATAGGGTTTATGCGGAATTATGGGCATGAACAACTCAACTCATGGACTTCATGGGTAATAGGTATTAGTCCCATGAATAGGATTATAGTCTCGAAAAGGATTAGGAACTCAATACTCAAGACTTATAATTTTAAGATATTACTCCTCTCAAAGATACTCAACTGATGGAGTTCATGCAGAAGTTATGGGCAAGAACAACTCGACTCAAGGGTCAAAATATCAATAAGGAACTCATGTATACAACTCTTCTCATTCTCATACTTACTTACTCAAAACTTAACTCAAAGACATTCTTGAACTCTACTCTTAACTCTCTCTTGAATGTGAATTATGAATTCAAGAGTTATGGTTCATGATATGAAGGATATCGTGATGACAAAATAGACTCATGAATAAATCTCCTCACTCTCATACTCTCTTAGTTGAGTCTTGAAACAAGTTACTAGAAGTTGTAGAAGACTCCACAGAAGGACTAAAAGGGACTTTCTTAGAATGTTTGGAAGAATTCTCAAAACTTAACTCTCAACTCTACCTTCAATTGGAATTATGAATTCAAGGTTATGGTAATGTTAGGAATGATTTTAGGTGCTGATAAGTAGCTTAAAGTAGTTAGAAACGAAAGAGAGTGAAGGTACCCTTCGAAAGAACTCAAACAGAAGAACCGATTGCAAATTGGACGAGGCAGGCGACCCTGGGGCTATGGGTTGCACGGGGCACCAGCCCCTACACTTCAGAGCATACTTTGGGGGGCTCTGGCTGGCGTGAGGCGCCAGGCCCCAACCCAGAAGACCCGACAAAATTCTTTGCTCGTTTTCTCACCCTAATTCGCCTAGAATCGAACGGTTTCTTCCCCAATCACTTGGATTTGATTTCTTAGCATAAGTACACTCTAATATACACAATAAATCCCTCAAAACACTCACTTTAATCTCAAGAAATCATCAAAACGCCAACAAAACAAGATTTAGAATGAACTTCAATAATACCTATCAAGAACTCTAATCTTTCAACTTTAAGAATGAAATTGAGCTGAAAAAAACATTATTGGCATGTGCGTGAACAAACCCAACACTATGGAAGCTTACATACCTCTTAGGGATCAAACCCATGGCGAAAATCCCTAACAACATGCAAGAATATCGACGAACGCTTGATCCTCTCCTCTTTTCTCCTCTTTTCTCTTCTTTAACTCTCAACTAAAACCCTAAGTGTATACTAGGATTATAAAACTGAACCTAATAGGATTAGACCCCTAAAACATTACTAAAAATGAATTAAATCTGATTGGGTAAGGAAAAGACCAAAATACTCCTTACTATTTTCGGATAACTTTCCTTAACTGGACAACCTGACTTCAAAAGGGCTTATCTCACTCATCCGAACTTGAAACTTAGCAAACTTGGTGGCGTTGAAAAGATAATTCAAAGATCTTTCATACAGTATCTGGTATCACACTTAACTCATCCTGAACTATGAGTTATGTTCGTTTGAAGTCGACCCAAAACTCATAATTAGCTTAACTTCCAAATATTTAGATTTTGCTATTTCCAGTTTAGTTCTTTTTGGAACTCAAGGTGCTACATCTAGTGACCTGACCTTAAATTTTTAATTCCTTGATAAGATCTCACTCAGTACGAATAACGGTTTGAGTCGTGGTTCAATTTTTTTTGGGGTGTTACAATATCTCTCCCTTGGGATCATTCGTCCTCGAATGACGATTGGACTGAGCTACCCTTACTAAGGTCTGCGTATAATGGTATGCTCTTACCATATTCAAGCCTAACCCAAATCTTTAGGTATGGGTTCTATACTTCTCTATATAGGGAATCTTAACCCAAGACTATTACTCTTTACCACCACATTGAGCTTATATCAAGACCCACCTAATTTTTAACAACAACACATTCAAGCTTAGTACTCTAACAACTCCATTTTTAAAAGGAGCTCTAAAAGGATATCCCCCAAGCTCTTTGTAACTCATTAATATCTTACTCTCAAACACTTGACTTGATTTCTCATCTCGCCATCTCCCCCTTAGGTCTAAAGCTGCCACTTGAAAGCTGTGGACCTATTCCATTATCTCTAAATGGTCTACATCCTGTTTTACTCTAACACTTGGGAGAAGTATATCTCATGACTACCGAAATCTGAATAAATAGATACTAAGGCCTCTTTCCAGGGTGTTTCTCTTAACCTCTTCTGATTACATACCCTTTCGGTACACCTCTTAATGCTCTTGTTACTCTTGTCACATAGCCACACTTTACTGCCCTTATCTAAAGGTTAGGATCTCTCACTTGTACCACTCATATTTATTGCAGCTTATCACCTCAATTCCTCACCTACTCTAATGTCAAGTCTTCTAGATCAAATCTTAAGACTAACATCATCACCCTAATGTTGCCATTCTTTTGATCATGACATTCATCTCAAATTCAAGCTTAATGTTTATTACTAAACCGAATATCAATACGATTCCTCACCTACTATACTATACTTCATTACTTGATCAGTTCTATAACCTTCCGAACATCATGACCCTCTCAAATAAATCATAAGCCTAACTTAAATCTATCACTTTATGAATAATTTTGCTCTTCTATTCAACAGTTACACTTGGTCATTACCTACATAATGACACTTCATCACAAACTCCTTTCTAGATAAAACACACTCTACCTCCTATGATGGAATCTTCCCAAACTCATCAGTTCTTAGTCTACCCATAAGGGAAAACTCTTAATTAATAATTTACTAGGTGCATGACTATAGTAACATAGATTTTCGAAACACCATCTCTCTTACTTATATTACTAAACCTCTGCATAGTTTCCTCTAACTCTGGGCTCTTTCACAACTACTGCCCATGATCTCATAACTCAAACTACCTTCTCCGGTGAATAGGGTTTAGGGAAAAGTGTACAACTAACTTTTAGCTCAAACGCACAATTCATATGAACATGGGTGCATACCTCTTAAACTGAACACTTACTAACTCATGGGCTTCTCCCAAGGCCCTATGGAGCCACATGACTTCCTCGAAACTCTTGCTAAGAATAACTCATTCATAAAGGACTGATTTTACACATTACTTTTGAACAACCTCTAGTGTGATGGGTAGTCGAATGAATGAATTCTGAGAACGCACGAGTTAGAATAATCTCTATGACTTAACTCTA